GGAAGGAAGGAGGAAGGAGGAAGGGAGGAAGGAAGGAGGGAGGGAGGGAGGGAGGAAGGGAGGAAGGAGGAAGGGAGGAAGGGGAGGGAGAGATAGAAGGAAGAAAGCTGATGAGTCACAAACACAGAAAACCACAACTAAACTTAAAGCAAAGAGCAACACCACAGGATCAGGAGGTGTCCCAGCAGATACCCACCATCATTATGTAAGTCTCACCCTCCCTGGGCCACAGAGCCAGCGGTCTGGCCCTGGGTCTTGGGGTCAGCCTATGGCACTGGACGAAGGACAGTCTTAGGCTGTGTTAGCCATAGCCCAGAACTTTACATTCAGGGGCAGAAGTTCTGGGTCAGGACAGAAGACAGCTGGGATGTCGCAGCAGACCCCAGCCAGCCTCACACCCCAGGGACCCAGGTAGACCCTTGTTCTCTAAGACCTCTCCACCATCTGGGTGGGGGAAAGGCTCTGTGTTGTCTCAGCGAGGCCCCAGAATCGTTGTGAGAGATGTTCTGAAAAGGAGAGAAAGCCTCCTGCCCCGTACAAGGTACAGAGCATCTATTTGATGCACATGGCATCATTCAATTCTCCAACTGTAGGGGGCACAGGTGGTTGTTATCTCCATTTTCTAGAAAATGTAACAGAGGCCCAGAGAGTAACGTGTTCAGTGCCACCCAGCACCACTCCTGCCTGCCTTCCATCCTCCCTCACGTCTTTCCTTCCTTTCTTTCTGTCCTTCTCTTCTTAATTCAGTTCTCAAGACTTGGAACTGCAGTTCAAACCCTATCTGGATTGTTCTTGACCTCGTGCTTCTGCATCCAGGCTCAGTCCTCCATCCCTAGGGGGGAAATAGGCTTTTCTTAAGGAAGTCCAGGGCAGGATGGGACTAGCTCTTGTTGGGGGACCTCCTCCCACCAGGTACCAAGAGAGCACAGACTTCATGGACTCTGTGGGCCACCAGCTCCCTGAGAACATCTCGGTTTGGGGGACATGAGCAGTGTTCCAAGAGGCAGTGAATTGGCCACCCATCAGCTGTGGAGAGTTAGGCAAAGCTGGATTTCACTCCCGGCTGAGCCCCTTCACCTGCTAGCAGTGGAATCTTGAGTCAGCTCTTCTTCTCTCTGAACCTGAGCTTCCTTGTCTGCAAAGTGGGAAAAATAATATCTTCTTCACACAGCTTTTGTGGAGTTAGGGAATATCATGTTGTCATGGTGCCTACCTAGTTGAGTTAGCAGATGTGGAGCTCCAACGTGTCATCTGACATGAAGTTGGTGTTCATGAGCTATTCATCTGGGCTTCCACATCGCTCTAAAACAGTGCATACCCTTGACCCCAAACCTAAACTCCCAAACTCAGGGCCACAGCACTCATGGGTTTGCCAGTCCTAAGAAAGTGGCTTTTGGATCACATATCATCTCTGTGCTTCAGTTTCCTTATCTATTAAACAAGGAGGAAACTAGTACCTTCCTCAAGGGCAGTTGTGAGGATTAAGTGCATTAATCCATGTAAAGTGTCCAGAGTAGCATCTAGCACAAAGTGCTGATTTAATGAGCAGATGCTCATTAAACATCAGCCATGATGTATTTATGATTTCCTGTAAGAAGGTTTTGAGCCTGTACCACTGATACACGTTTATCTCTAAGTTACATTCCTGTATCACTATGCTACTGTATCATGTACATTATGGAACATATTCAAAATGTAGAAATGTTAAAAATGAGATAAATTAAATAAGAGTTTCAATACTTTCTTCCCACAACCAAAGGATCATCTTGCTCAGGGGTGAGCAAACTGTGGCCTCTAGCCAAATTCTACCTGCCACCTGTTTTGTAAGTAAACTTTTATTGGGGCCTAGCCACACCCATTTAGTACCAATTGTCTATGGCTAGTTTTTTTGGGTAAAGATTTATTTATTTAATTAGAGAGAGAGGGAGAGAGCACGCATGAGTGGGAGGAGGGGCAGAGAGAGAGGCAGAGAGAGTCCTCAAGTATACTCCATGCTGAGCGTGGAGCATAATGGGGGCCCAATCCCAGGACCCCAAGATCATGACCTGAGCAAAATCAAGAGTCGGCGCTCAACCAACTCAACCCCCCAGGCGCCCCGTCTATGGCTACTTTGATAGTACAATTGGCAGAGTTGAGTAGCTGCAAGAGATGGTGTGGGGCCCAGTGAGCCAAAATATTTACTGTCTGACCCTTTACAGAGTTTGCCAACTCCTGGCATCCCCACAGATGCAAGAATCCCACTGGCCTAAAAGATGGGGATCTGGACTCTTTCCATCACCATCTACCACCAGTGGCCTGATTTGACTGACCAGTTGCCATCTTGATATACATGGTTGTGCCTCCCTACCTAGCGATTTGTCCACCAAACAAGAAGGAATTAGACCTTCAGACCTTGTAAAAGACTTATTCACACACAACGCCTCCCAGCATTCACACTACTGTGCCCCCAAATCCCTTCATCTCTCTGAGCTTTGGCTTCCTCATCTGTGTACCTGACCTCTCTACCTCACCCCATGAGAAACAGGACTCAGTCTGAAAGCATGTGATATAAACATATCATATAAACATGGATGATGCGGTGTAAGCATAAGAGGCTATTCTAATATACGGTATCGAGTATAATTTAGTCTTGAACTGGAGCTTGCCAGTTACTCAAAATGGATGAAGATACAGTAAATGACAGTGAAGAAAGCCGCATCCCAACTATGATGTGAGAAATCGTCTTGGGGAGGGAAGAGACACGGGTTTGCGAAACGAATGCTGATCACATGCACAAACCCGGAGTGTGGTTATCTCAACACCTGCACAGGGTTCTCAGCAGGCTCGATAGGAAGACCTTCATTTTAGAGTCAAGCCCCTTTATTATATGCGCTGGCACATTTGAATAAATAGTCAACTGTATTTGCAGGAACAGTTAGAGCTTGCTAACGTTTTGAAGTGTCCCTGAGAGCCAATCTCCCACAGGGGTGTCATTATCTGTGTCTTTGCTCATTAAATATTTGCTGTCTTGATGGAGATGAGAGAAGAAAGGTGGGGGGGGGGATTGAAAGAGGAAGACAAGAGGGAGAAAAATCAAAAAGGAGGCAGAAAGAGGAAGAGAAACAATTAAAAGAAAAGAGAATCCATGATCAAGCAAATAGGCAGATTTTTTTTAAATTCCAAGAGTGACGATAAAAACTAGTGCTTTCATTTCTCTGGTTAACTCCTCAGGTGGGAGTCCAAACCCCGAGTGGTTTTGGAGGAAACTTTATTCAGGGTGGTCAGAAATCCCCGGCTGCTATTCAGGATAAAATTAGGTTTTCCCACGTTCCTGCAGCGGCAGGCCCACCAAAACATTCAAACAAAGAAGGAGTGTCAAATGGCTTTGCAGTAATTTCAGAACTTTTTCTAGTTGAACAGAGGGCTGTTACGTGAGCTCATTGTTTCTGCACAGAGCCGATCAGATGTTATGGCTAAATATATAAAGAAGATCGATGTGTTTTTTTCCCAAGTGATAATCAGTTTTTGGAATCGCTTTTCCCCACAAAGAGCCCAAAAACCATAAAGGCACAGGATGATCCAAAAACCAACAAGCCTTGCTGAAGCTTAGATTTCAAGTCTTTAAGGACATTAACAGAACATGGGAAACAGAACAGGTATGGGTGGCAGAGGCTGTGTGGTGACCTCGAATGAAGGAGGACTCTTTTGCCATTTACTTGCTTTGTAGCCTTGGACAAGTCAGTTAACTTCTGTGAGCCTTAGTTTTCTCATCTCTATAATGCGATTATTTTTTGTTGTTGTTTTGTTTTGTTTTGTTTTGTTTTGTGGAGCCCAACACGGAGTTTGAACTCACCACCCTGAGATCAAGACCTGAGTCGAGATTAAGAGTCGGTTGCTTAACCGACTGAGGCACCCCTAAAATGGCATTATTAATAATTTCCATAAGATTGTTGGGGTGACAAAAAGAGATGATATCCATAAAACACTCATTCAATTTTAGTTTCTTTCTTGTCTCTTTCTTGAAGCCTTTGGTAACTAGGGGAAAATAGTGCCTGCCCAAGCGGAGATCTGAATTTAAGGAAGATAGGGCCATTACAAATTTCTTAAATGCACAACGTTCTGTGCTCCAAACATGAGCTTATCTACATGATCATGTGTCCAGTGTATGACTAAAAACTTGAACAGGCCATATTTTCATAGCCTGTTTCCCTCTCATAATCTCGCTCTCCTGGCCTCACCAATTGTTTCCAAGATGGTGACCACCTTGCATTGCATCATTCTCAGGGAGCCAGATCCTTCCAGACGCTGCACTTGTTGCCCATGCTTAGGGAGTGGCCTTGGAGGGCACACACTTAATTCCAACAATGTCACCATCTTCCTCTCTGCTGATCATTGTTAGCTGATTTCAATTTGCTGTCCTCTGGAAGCACATTTAATTTCTGAAAGTCACTGAGATGCATGATCTGGCTGGACATCCCTGTTCAGGAATCAAACACAGACTGCATTTTTTATATTTTTCAAAAATGGACTCTGATGATGATTTACAAAAATTTGAGTTCAGTCATCAGAGAAGCACAGCCAAGACCAGGGCATAGTCTTGCAAGCGACGGCATTGAATCGACCAGTAAGCACTGCCAGGATAAGCATCGTCCTACATTTTTAAAAATATTGTGTAGTAATGCCTTTCCATGTCTCCCTGCGCAATAAAGTGCAGACTTCTCAGCAGTACATACAAAGGTTTTTGCAACGTGGCTTTGCCTCCTATCTCTGCCCTGCCACACCTGTGAACCCCTAATGCTCAGGACCCATTCAGGGGGCACTCCAGAAGCTATGGAGCATCTGAGTTCCTGGGCTAACTTAAAAGAACCCAGAGACTATCGGTCGTTTGACAGAAATTTAGTCATTGTGTTGGGCCCAGCATCCTTCCAAGTTGTAGGAAACATGCACCCAGATGCAGCTGAAAGAGAGGTTTTCACAAAGTCATAATACTTCCTAGCTTCCTGTTCCTCTCCATTTTCTGGTCTCACTCCCACTATCCATTCAAGCTAGAAAAGAGACAGAGGAAAAGCTCCTGATGTTATTCACCCATGGTCCTCATACCTTTGACGTCCTATGGTTTACAGCATCACCATAAGGTTCAACTTTAAAGCAGAAAGTTTCCTAAACTGTGCAAGGCAGTGAGCAAGGTGGTTCTTTTCAGTGGAATGGAGGGTGATAACAGAGCTGCCAGGAGCACACTAACACAGTCGATGGAGGCAACAAAAAGAGAAAGATCCACCAATCCATTGTGCAAACATGGGACTATATTTAACTACTATGACTTCAGATGTCTTGGCAGAGAAAGAAGGAGGGCAACTCATTTGAAACTTACCTGCCTGCCAGTGTTACTAGCTCTCTTTATGATTAATTATGTAGGTGTTTTGATATACCCAAGGCATTCATTCTATAGATTTGTTCCTTTGTACCTTTGAGTTCATGTCATTCTATCTTCCTAGAATGTTCTCCCTTTTCCCTTTTCTGTCGTGTGAATCCTATCCGTCCTTCAGATCCAGTTCAAATCCACCTGTCCCGTAAATCCTTCTCCAAACGTGTGTTCCTTCTGCCTCTGTGCTCCATCATATTTGATCACGTTGCTGGCAGAACACACAACAGCACATTGGTGTTGGTCTCTCCATGTCAGCTTTACATCTTAGACCACAGGATATGGTCCAGGCAATCTCTCACCTTCGAATTCCCAATGCCTAACAACATGCCTTGATTGCAACGGCCACTCAGTAAATCCTTCTTACACTTCTTAAACTTAACTGTTGTGCCCTCATAAAGTTTTTCTTAAAGGCATAATCATTTTGACAGCTTTGATTTAATACACGATTCATAATTTTCATTGACAAAACCGTGCACAACCCTTCATTATGATGCAGGTAACAACGAAACAAGACGCTTCAGGTCTACCCACCTCTCCTCTATCTGTTAAAATGATGGATTCAGGGCATCAAGATGAGTTACCTGAAAATCTTGCCAAGGGAAGATCTTAAAGGAGAGTTGAAGAAAGCTCATCATCCATTTGAGACATGGATGTAATTGGATTTACTAAGAAAGAAAGATAAAAGTAAAGGGTGCCCAGACACAGGGGTCTTTAGGGATGGGCATGCTGCCTTACTCATTCCCAAGTCCACCGTATGCACGATAAAGGCATGGGACCTGGCCCTCACAGGGGTCTCATCAGGGTGCTATCCACATTTGTTGATATCACTGTTGAAAATATACATTAATGAGTCGGTTTGACTTAGGAACTCAATAACGTGTCTTCCATAGTCGCTTGGAGATTTCTAGAAATCTTACGGTTTCCTCTGCCCATCCAGAAACTGTCTTTCTGTAATAGGAGAGAGGAGACAGCCAGTTGCTACAAAGAGCCATGCATAAGAGGGCTGCAGTGGATTTTAGGGATTATCAAACTCAGTGTGTCCACTGGAGTCACATATATGTGGACAGATTGCTTCCAAGGGTCCTAGGTGCCATTTGACAGTTGTGAGAATTCGAACAACTCACTTAAGCTCTGTGAGCTTCAGTCTCTTCACCTGTAAAGTGGGAGTTATGATCCCCATCTTGGCCAGTTATTTTGAAAATTATAAGAGAACCAAGTGGGCCTTGATAACACAACTTTTATTCTTTTTTCCCACTGGAGAGTCATTATCCAAACCTGACATTCAGAATGATACAGTGGGATGCTTCTGTAAGGGAAAGAGGCTGGGGAGCATCCTACAGAAGGCTGAAATCTGGCTGGGCAGACTGAGCTGTGGGGGCCACATCAGGATTCCAGCTTGAGTGGCGCCAGACTGGCCTTTTGGACAGCTACTTCTTATACAAGGAGATAAATCTTATCCTGAGTGTGGGTGGTGCTACGGAGGAACGAGGCAGATTCCAGGGCACCTGGAAATGCACACTAAGGCTTCTCAGAGGAAAGGACACTTGTCAGAGAAGCGATGCTTAGTCACATGGATGAGCTCTGAGCAAGAGGACATGGGATGCAGAGCACAGAGGCCCAGGAGAGTCAGGAAACAGCCATGGGAGACGCAGGGAGATGGTGAGGCTGAAATGTATGTTGGGTTTGGAAAATGAAGGGAAATCTGATCTGTGCTGGCCTTGTGAGCTCCCTCTCAGAAAGAAGAACACCATTTGAAGGAATGGTGAGCCGTAAAAGGCCTTCAAGCTGAGGCGTAGCATGATGAGGTCTGTGTTTTAGAAATTCTGGAGAGAGAAAGACAGTTGTGTGTTCAGTGGGGGTTGGGGGCTGCAAGCAGACAGAGTTGCCAGAAACTGTTCTGGAACCAGAACAGACAATGCTCGGGAGGGGAGGGCTGCCTGGATGTGAACTCTCTGAAGGAAGTGGAGGCTACAGACTTAGGGTAGCCTGACTGTGGAGTGTGGGGAAGAGAAAGGCAGCAAAGAAGAGACCAGTGATTCTGGCTTAGGGCTGGTGTGAATGGTCCCCAAACACCAGGGAACAGAGGCTCAGGAGGTGGTAAGGAAGTGATGAGTTCTGTTGGAGGCCTGTTGAACTTGAGGGCAGCCTGAGGTCTCCAAAGGGAGGTGCTCAGCCACCATCTGCATCAGGAGACCCTCTGGCACCCATGCTGAGGGGATCGGCCCTCCCATATTCCTGTTGAGTCTGACCACCTCCCCTCTCTCTGTTTCCAGTACTTTGTCTTCACCGGGGTGCTGGCCATGGTGACCTGTGCAGTCTTCCTCCGCCTGAACTCTGTCCTGAAGCTGGCGGTGCTGCTGATTATGATCGCCATCTACGCCCTGCTGACCGAGACCATCTATGCGGGCCTCTTTCTGCGCTACGACAACCTGAACCACAGCGGAGAGTAAGTGTCCGCCATCACCTGCTCAAAATGTGCTCAACTCCCAGTGGGAAATGGAGCCCTTGGGAGGATGATTGTGATGGCGCCACTAAAATTTGGGGACCGTTGGGATATTGACTTCTGTTTCTCAGCTCAGGCGCTCGCTAGCTTACAAGTCTAGGCAAAAATCCCTTGTTTTCGGTTTTAAACTTTGGACTGAGTAGTAACTAAAGAGTATCTCTGTTCTCCTTCCTCCAAACCTAGTAATTTATGATTCCTTCCAATTTAACAGCTCTGAGATGCATAGGGTCTGATTATAATTTGGCTGTGATGGTATTAATAGTAGCAGCCACTGTGCATTGAACACTTACTATGCTCCTTGCCCTGGATTATTTATAGAATACAGAAAAATACAAAAAATAATGTCTCAGCCTAGATTTCTTGCAACAGAGCTGGAGACAAGGCGAAGGGCCAGCGTAACTCCAGGGCAGGGAAAGGGAGGGGAAGAGGTCAGGAGGCAAACACAGGCTGACATGGTATTTTGTGGCCACGTGGGTCGTGAAGAGATTGAAAGGAGTCGCTCAGGGGCGCCTGGGTGGCTCAGTTGGTGAAGCGTCTGCCTTTGGCTCAGGTCATGATCCCAGGGTCCTGGGGTCAAGCCCCACGTCGGGCTCCTTGCTCAGTGAGGAGCCTGCTTCTCTCTCTCCCTCTGCCTGC